GAATTAATAAAGCAGTTGAAATTACCCTTATAATCGGGCCAATACGGTATTATTATGTTTGTTTTTTTACTTGCCTTTTTCTCTATTGTTTAATTGAGCTATCTCTTGAGTTTGATTATGAATGATGCCAGCTCACACTATTAATTGAAATGTTATTCTCATAGTGAGACAAAATTACTGACACTGGGTGGCGCTAAGGTTTTTTGTCATAGTAACTATGATCATATGTAAATCATTCTGTCACTCAATATAATTAATTAAATTACTAAATTCTAATCTCATTGTCTGTTAGCAAATTAAATAGAACTGAAAACTGATAAGCCAGACACTCATTATATAGAGTTAAAGGTTAGATATTGTTTGAAACGTGGTTAGAGCTTATAAGTATTGGTAGTTCTAATTAATTAGAGAGTTTTCCAAGTGCCATGTTATTAACCCTTTGGACTGCTATAATCGGATTTAACCAACTTGACATTTATAGCCGTTTGGTGTGAAAAGATTTACCCCACAAAAGCTTTTCGTCATAGTGTTACTATCGGCATACTTGCAAGCCCTTGAATTTCCCACGTTAGTTATAGTATTTGTGGCACTCGTGTATAAAGTTAAAATCATAAATAATATTCAACGTTAAATTGGGACACTATTAAAAACATTTAATTTAGGCCTATCTATGGCCTTCAAAAAGTTGACGACTTCTACATGTTTCGATGTTACAACTCCTGAGGATGACGCCCGATTATAAGCCGATGTTTATTGATTAATAATTAGGCTGTAAAATTCATAGTCGCCTTATAATCACGGCGGAATGCAGGCCCCTGTCCCCCTACTCTAGCTTGTCGCATTCCTGGATGTCCATATAACATCCGTCTACGCATGCGTGCCAGATGTTCACTCAAGGTCATCGCTAATTCTTGCAACTAGTCCACCTGCAGGCTGTTTAGTTATAGTATTGATTTTGCGGACCTAAAACAGGACGTTTTGACACTCAATTTTTTCTTTCCCATAGTGTCTGAAAATGGTAGTCGCCTTATATTCGAGATCACCCTTTTGCCGTGATAATTCCTTTTTGTAGGATTGTCATCAGGCTAAATCCCTAGCCCCTGGATCGACAAATGCTGTTAAATTAAGTCGATTTTTTGACAAGGTGAGAATATCATTAATTTAAAAAGTAGCAAAACTTTTATTATTTTGTTTTACCTACGTTTAATAAACATCAGGGCTAACGTATACTTCTAGTTCTATTGCTTTGTAAGGTGGTATTATTTCTATTTGCTTACTACTATATTGGGTGTAAGTACAAAACAAATGACTATATTTCACAAACCATAAACCACAGAACCCTGCTACTATAAAAGGAATTATCACGACAAAGTGTAAGTACAAAACAAATGACTATATTCACAAACTATAAACCACAATTTACAACCCTGCTACTATAAAAGGTATTATCACGACAAAGTGTAAGTACAAAACAAATGACTATATTTCACAAACTATAAACCACAGTTTACAACCCTGCTACTATAAAAGGTATTATCACGACAAAGTGTAAGTACAAAACAAATGACTATATTTCACAAACTATAAACCACAGTTTACAACCCTGCTACTATAAAAGGTATTATCACGACAAAGTGTAAGTACAAAACAAATGACTATATTTCACAAACTATAAACCACAGTTTA